GGGAGTCCGGGTGTCCGTCTGGCCCGTGGTCCAGGTGTCTGTCCGGTTGACCCAGTGTGTGTCCAGTTGTCCGGGAGAATGTCTGTCTGTTTGTCCTGGTGTCTGTCCTGGTGTCCCCCCATCTGTCCGGTTGTCCAGGAGTCTGTCTGTCCAGTTGTCCTGGTGTCTGTCCAGTTTTCCGGGTGTCTTTCTGGTTGTCCCGGTGTCTGTCCTGGTGTCTCTCCATCTGTCCAGTTGTCCTGGTGTCTGTCCTGGTGTCCCTCCATCTGTCCAGTGGTCCAGGTGTCCATCTCTCCGGTTGTCCAGGTGTCTGTCCAGTTGTCTGGGAGATTGTCTTTCCGGTTGTCCAGGTCTCTGTCCAGTTGTCCCAGTGTCTGTCCGGTTGTCTGGGAGATTGTCTTTCTGGTTGTCCTGGTGTCTGTCCAGTTGTCCAGGTCTCTGTCCGGTTGTCCTGGTGTCTGTCCAGTTGTCCAGGAGTCCGTCTGTCCGGTTGTCCGGGAGAATGTCTGTCCGGTTGTCCTGGTCTCTGTCCGGTTGTCCTGGTGTCTCTCCATCTGTCCAGTTGTCCTGGTGTCTGTCCTGGTGTCCCACCATCTGTCCAGTGGTCCAGGTGTCCATCTCTGCAGTTGTCCTGGTGTCTGTCCAGTTGTCTGGGTCTCTGTCCGGTTGTCCAGGTGTCCATCTCTCCGGTTGTCCTGGTGTCTGTCCTGGTGTCCCCCCATCTCTCCGGTTGTCCCGGTGTCTTTCGGTTGTCCTGGTGTCTGTCCGGTGGTGCAGGTGTCCGACTCTCTGGTTGTCCTGGTGTCTGTCCTGGTGTCCCCACATCTGTCCGGTTGTCCCGGTGTCTTTCCGGTTGTCCTGGTGTCTGTCCTGGTGTCCCCCCATCTATCCAGTGGTCCAGGTGTCTGTCTGGTTGTCTGGGAGATTGTCTTTCCGGTTGTCCTGGTGTCTGTCCTGGTGTCCCTCCATCTGTCCAGTGGTCCAGGTGTCCATCTCTCCGGTTGTCCAGGTGTCTGTCCGGTTGTCTGGGAGATTGTCTTTCCAGTTGTCCTGGTGTCTGTCCGGTTGTCCGGGTCTCTGGCTGGTTTTCCTGCTGTCTGTCCTGTTGTCCATCTGTCCAGTGGTCCAGGTGTCCATCTCTCCGGTTGTCCAGGTGTCTGTCCGTTTGTCCTGGTCTCTGGCCAGTTGTCCAGGAGTGTGTCTGTCCAGTTGTCCTGGTGTCTGTCCAGTTGTTCAGGTGTCTGTCCTAGTGTGTGTCCAGTTGTCCATCTGTCCGGTTGTCCTAGTGTCTGTCCTGGTGTCCCTCCATCTGTCCGGTGGTCCAGGTGTCCGTCTCTCCGGTTGTTTAGGTGTCTGTCTGTTTGGTTGTCCAGGTCTCTGTCTGGTTGTTCAGGTGTCTGTCCTGGTGTCTGTCCAGTTGCCCGTCTCTCTGATTGTCCTGGTGTCTGTCCTGGTGTCCCTCCATCTGTCTGGTTGTCCAGGTGTCTTCCTGTCCGATTGTCCTTCTGGCCATCTGTCTGGGTGTCTGTCTGTCCCGTTGTCCAGGTGTCTGTCCTGGTGTCTGTCCGGTTGTCCATCTGTCCAGTTGTCCATCTGTCCAGTTGTCCAGGTGTCCATCTGTCCAGGTATCTGGGGGTCCAGCTGTCCAGGTGTCTCTCTGTCCTGGTGTCCAGTTGTCCGTCTGCCCTGTTCATCCATCCGGGGCTCCATCCACCCAGGGGGATGTTCCTCTGGGTGTCCATCTGTCTGCCCAGGGGTCCGTCCATCTGTCCAAGAGTCCGTTTTGGTGTCTATCCATCTGGACATCCATCTAGATGTCCACCTGGGTGTCCATCTATGTGTCTGTCCATCCCTCTGGGGGATGTCCATCCACCCAGGTGTCCCTCTAGGTGTCTGTCCATCCGTCCAAGTGTCCTTCCATCTGGATGTCCATCTAGATGTCCACCTGGGTGTCTGTCCATATGTCTGTCCATCCCTCTGGATGAACGTTCATCCACCCAGGTGTCCCTCTAGGTGTCCATCCACCTGGATGTCCATCTGGATGTTTGTCCAGGTGTCTGTCCATCTGGGTGTCCACCTGGGTGTCCATCCATGTGTCTGTCCATCCCTCCTGATGAACGTCCATCCACCCAGGTGTCCCTCTAGGTGTCCGTCCATCTGTCCAAATGTCCTTCTAGGTGTCCATCCATCTGGATGTCCATCTAGATGTCCACCTGGATGTCCATCTGGGTGTTTGTCCAGGTGTCTGTCCATCTGGACGTCCATCTGGGTGTCCACCTGGGTGTTTGTCCATGTGTCCGTCCATCTGGGTGTCCACCTGGGTGTTTGTCCATGTGTCTGTCCATCCACCCGGTTGTCCATCCACCCGTGTGGGTGGACATCCATCCCTTCCTCCCTGTGTCCATGTGTCCACGTGGGTCACCCATCCTTCTGGTGTCCATCTGTCCATCCATCCTCCCACGATCTCCATCCTTGGGGGGGGGACATCAACCCTCCCACTCCCCCAATGTGTGCCTCAGTTTCCCCATCCCCCCCCAAAACCCAACCAAATCCCCCCCAAATCCACGGGCCACCCCCTCCCCATGGAGACCCCCCGCAAAATACCCAACGTGGGGGGTTGGAAAGTCCCCAAATCCCAACTTCCCCTTCACCCAAGTTGAGGAGAGGGAGGAGGGACGAGGACATTTGGGTCCTTCCTCCTCCCCCCAACCCTGGTGACACCCCCTTCCTGTCCCTTTGCAGGTTGTCACTGCTGCCCACATGCTGCTGAGCGCCGGTAAGTGTCCCCCCCTCGGGGGGTCTGGGGCCACGGTGAGGGGCTCCTGGGGACATGGGGAGGTGGGGGGGGACCAGGAGGGGGTAGGTCCTTCCTTAGGTGGCTTCGTCAAGTCATCTTGAAAGTGATGGGGCGGAAGGTTCCTCCTTCCGCCCTCGGGGAGGAGACGTCACCCCTTGGAGCATCCGGGGGTGGCAGAGAGCGGCCGTTGGTGGCCCAGGGTGTCACAGCATCTCCAGGGTGTCACGGAGCATCCTCCGTCCCTTGTGGTCACCACGGTGTCACGGAGTGTCCCCAGGATGTCACGGAGCATCCTCCGTCCCGGTGGTCACCAGGATGTCACGGAGCATCCTCCTCCGTTGTGGTCACCACGGTGTCACGGAGCATCCTCCTCCCTTGTGGTCACCACGGTGTCATGGAGTGTCTCCAGGATGTCACGGAGCATCCTCCTCCCTTGTGGTCCCCAGGGTGTCACGGAGTGTCCCCAGGAGCATCCTCTGTCCCTGTGGTCCCCAGGGTGTCACTGAGTGTCACCACGATGTCACCGAGCATCCTCCATCCCCATTTGCCAAGCAGGAGCACCCATCTCCCATCAGGGTCACCCCATCTTCCTTCCCAGACCTCCATCTCCCATCTGGGACCTCCATCTCCCATTGGGGTCACCCCATCTCCCATTCAGGACCTCCATTACCCATCAGGGGCACCCATCTCCTGTTGGGGTCACCCATCCCCGACCAGGAGCACCCATCATCATCACCCAGGAGCACCCACCTCCCATTGGGATCACCCCATCTCCCATGGGGTCGCCCCATCTTCCATGCAGGACCTCCACCTCCCATCAGGGACACCCACCTCCCATCAGGGACACCCACCTCCCACCAGGAGCACCCGTTCCCAACCAGGAGCACCCACCACCCTTCTCCCCTCTTCTCTCCCCAGGCTCCTCGACCCCTATTTGGCGCTACGAGGAAGGCATCAAGGGCGTCTTCCTCAGCAGCGACGTCCAGGTGACAGCTGGGCAGCTGCGGGTGACAACGGGTGGCCTCTACCTCCTCTACGGCCAGTTTGGGGTCACCTGCACCACCTCCACGTGTCCCCGGGGCACCATCACCCTCGAGCTCTGCCGCGGGACGTCGCCGTTGCTCGTCATCCCCTTGACGTTGGCCGACGATGGAAAAACGCAACCAGTACGTTCCAGTTTGGTCCAAGCCGTTGGGCAGCTCCAAACTGGAGATGTCCTCAGCCTGGGGCTGAAAAGGAACATGGAGAGGGACATCGAGGACGGGTGGCAGCTGGCACAGGACAACCGGGAGGGCAACTTCGTTGGGTTGTTGCGTATCGCCGGGGGTGACGTGTGGGGCGACAGGGGGTGGCCAGTGGGGTTTGAGGCTGGGTCACCCTCCTGGGTGGAGGTTGGGGACATCAAGGGACATCACTGACCTCTGTGGCTGGAGATTTGGGTCCCAAGACCCCCATGACCATGGATTTGGGGACATCAAGGGACGTGAAGGAACATCGCTGACGTCCATGGCTGCAGATTTGGGTCTCAAGACCCCGAGATTGGGGGACATCAAGGGACGTCGCTGATGTCCATGGCTGGAGATGTGGGTCCCAAGACCCCCATGACCATGGATTTGGGGACATCAAGGGACGTGAAGGAACATTGCTGACATCCATGGCCAGAGATTTGGGTCCCAAGACCCCCAGACCCAGAGATTTGGGGACATCAAGGGACATGAAGGTGACATCAAGGGACATCGCTGATGTCCATGGCTGGAGATGTGGGTCCCAAGACCCCCATGACTGTGGATTTGGGGACATCAAGTGACATGAAGGGACATCGCTGACCTCCATGGCCAGAGATTTGGGTCCCAAGACCCCCAGACCCAGAGATTTGGGGACATCAGGTGACATCAAGCTGATGTCCATGGCTGGAGATGTGGGTCCCAAGACCCCCATGACCATGGATTTGGGGACATCAAGCCTCCCCCCCCAGCTGGTCTGGGGGGACACACCCCTCCCACCCTCCCCTTAAATTATTATTATTTGCTTTATTTATTGATTAATAAATTTATTTATGATTCACAGAGCCCCCCAAATGGCTTTAATTGTCCCCAAAAAAGGGGGGCACCCCCTTGGGGGGGGTGGGTGGGGCCACCCCACACTTGTGGGGCTCGATTGTCCCCCGTTCCCCACCCCCCCACCATCAAAGCAGGGAATAAAGGGGGTCGTGCAAGGCTGTGCACCGACAGTCGTGCACCAGGGCTTGTGCAAGGCCCTGCACGGGCAGTTGTGCACCAAGGGTTGTGCACCAGGGGTTGTGCAAGGCCGTGCACCAACAGTCATGCACCGAGGGGTCCTGCACCAGGGCTTGTGCAAGGCCCTGCACGGACAGTTGTGACCCGAGGGGTCCTGCACCAGGGCTCGTGCAAGGCTGTGCACCGAGGGTTGTGCACCAAGGACTGTGCACCAGGGGTTGTGCAAGGCCGTGCACCAACAGTCGTGCACCGAGGGGTCCTGCACCAGGGCTTGTGCAAGGCCCTGCATGGACGGTTGTGCCCTGAGGGTTGTGCACCAGGGCTTGTGCAAGGCTGTGCACCGAGGGTTGTGCGCCCAGGGGTGTGCAAGGCCCTGCACAGACAGTTGTGCTCCAGGGGTTGTGCAACGCCATGCACCAACAGTCGTGCACCGAGGGGTCCTGCACCAGGGCTCGTGCAAGGCTGTGCACCGAGGGTTGTGCAAGGCCCTGCACAGATGGTTGTGCACCAAGGGCTGTGCACCAGGGGTTGTGTAATGCCGTGCACCAACAGTCATGCACCAAGGGGTCCTGCACCAGGGCTTGTGCAAGGCTGTGCACCGAGGGTGGTGCACCAAGGGGTGTGCAAGGCCCTGCACAGACAGTCATGCACCGAGAGGTCATGCACCAGGGCTTGTGCAAGGCTGTGCACTGAGGGTTGTGTGCTGAGGGGTGTGCAAGGGCCTGCACAGACAGTTGTGCACCAAGGGCTGTGCACCAGGGGTTGTGCAACGCCGTGCACCAAGGGATCCTGCACCAGGGCTCGTGCAAGGCTGTGCACCGAGGGTTGTGCACTGAGGGATGTGCAAGGCCCTGCACGGACAGTTGTGCACCAGGGGATGTGCACCAGGGGTTGTGCAATGCCGTGCACCAACAGTAGTGCACCGAGGGGTCCTGCACCAGGGCTTGTGCAAGGCTGTGCACCGAGGGTTGTGTGCTGAGGGGTGTGCAAGGCCCTGCACAGACAGTTGTGCACCAGGGGTTGTGCAACGCCGTGCACCAACAGTTGTGCACCAAGGGGTCAGGCTCCAGGGCTTGTGCAAGGCTGTGCACTGAGGGTTGTGTGCTGAGGGGTGTGCAAGGCCCTGCACGGACAGTTGTGCACCAAGGGCTGTGCACCAGAGGTTGTGCACCAGGGGGGTTGTGTGATGCCGTGCACTGAGGGTCGTGCAAGGCCCTGCACTGATGGTTGTGCCCTGAGGGTCCTGCACCAAGGGTTGTGCAATGTCGTGTACCAGCAGTCGTGCACCAATGGTTGTGCAGCACCGTGCACTGAGGGTTGTGCACCAGGAGTTGTACAGCACCGTGCACCGAGGGTGTCCCACCCCGTGCACCAAGGGGCGTGCAGCACTTGTGCACCGAGGGCTGTACAGCACCGTGCACCAGGAGTTGTGCACTGATGGTGTCCCACAACATGCACGCCAGTCGTGCACCAAGAGTTGTGCACTGAGGACTGTGCACTGAGGGTTGTGCACTGATAGTTTCCTGCACTGTGCACCACCAGTCGTGCACCACATGACGTGCAGCACCGTGCACCGAGAGTTGTGCATCCATGTGTCCCACACCGTGCACCACTGAGGGTTGTGCACTGATGGTGTCCCACAGCGTGC